CTTACTGCCTCTTTTCAGACATCTTAAAAGACTTCATCATACCTATCACCTATTATTACTATTTCTAAATGAATGTCACAGGTTGAAATGCTCATTTGTCATTTTTGGAGACTAATATTCTAAACTTTGACACACATGCCTGTCACAAATTATAATTACAGTATCCCAACTGTTGGTTGTAGTACTGTAGATCAGATTTCCCACTGGCCAGTAGGTTAAAATTTTGACTTAATCTGGACCTTAGGAAGGGTTTTTAACATCGTGAAGAAACATTTGGCTGAAAAAATACTTAAATGTCAACTGAAAAAAGATTACCAGTTTGATACTTAACATTTCTGTGCTGTAAAAGTCCTGTACCCGAAGAAACAAAATCTTACGACAAATGAATTGCACATCTACAGTATACTGTTCTTGAGCTAAAACCGTATTCCCTAAAATGTCTCTTTCTGCTCATAAATGAACACAAAAAAGGTTACAAGCTAGAAAATACATATTTTTCATTTAGCCCATCAAGTTGTTAATAGCTAATTGATCCAAGGATCTCATCCAGCCTTTTTTATAAAAAGCCAGGATTTTAACTTGCGTGTCTTTATTCTAAAGTACACATGATGAGAAGTCTAGTGCTTCTTTAGTAAGCACAGTTTTCTCAACAATTAAACAAAAGGAAAGGTGTCAGGGACTGCACCTTGAAGAACCACCTATGTACAGTATGATAAAATAATTGATATTGTAAACAAAACCTATGTAATGCAAAAATAACCTTTTCTCTCAGAATGTAGCTGTAATAATTCCTGAGACAGGAGGCTATTTCTGTACAGAACTGTGTTATGACTATTAGTACAAAAATACAAACAATTGCTTTTGGTTTTCCAAAAAACAGCTGGCTTTCCTCCTCTTCATCTGCAGTGCTTGAGGGTTTATTCCAATGATGAAACACTGAAAGCTACTTTTTGGTTTTTACTTTTTTGCAGTAAGGTTGATAGGGATGTTTATACTTATACAGTTTCAGTTACAGATAAATCAACAAAAACTAGAATGCAGAAGCTATTCATGAGCTCACTGCAGAAGTTGACTGTATAAAGTTGTTAAGAGTTTCAAGCATCACTAACTAGGAAATTTTGATAGAGGGGTTACCAATTTACCAATTGCAAATGCCAGACGACACAGGGATGGGAACCATTAGTTTAAGATGCCTTACTTGCATTAGTGCTACATATTGGTAAATGCTGCTGTGTTTGGGTAATCACTGGATATTGGTATTAGTCACAGCAATCATAATAAGTACATCCCCGCAGCACAAAAAATTGGACAATTATTTGTCATCATAAAGTTGGTAATTGCTGGTAATGACTATGGCAACCCAGAGCTAAACCCACAATCGTGGAGTGCAAGAAGGGACTACAGCCTGGATTGGAGGCCAGACCATTACAAGGCACACACACTGTGACACTTTAGAGATGCCAAGTAACCATGGCTTTCTGAAAGTGCGAGTACACTGGTGCACTCGCAGAAAGCAAACCGACTCCACAGAGATGGTGGCTCAGTCCAAAACTGAATCCAGGACCCAAGAGCTACAAGGAAGCAGCACTCGGATATACTCAAATATCTGGTCATCCCATGTTTTCAACATCTCAGTCAAAGATCATTCCAGAAACCGCAAGTATAAAAAAATGAAAATACTTGAGTGCAACGCTGTACCCTTGCAGAGCAAATCACGCAGAAGATGCATCTTTCCTCTTTGGCAGTACCATAACATAACTGGGTAACTCTACGCTGTACCATAGTCCTAATTGTAATATGAAAGGGCTCTGTCTTACCTCCTTAACTGACATTTTGAAGACTTCTAAGAGCTCCAGTTGTGCTACTCCCATTTTGCCCTAACTCTAAAGAGAAATGATGTATTTTTTTAGTTTTTAAAACTATTGTTTTAGTGTTTCCCCATCCTGTACACATACAAAGACATATAACGTTCCTTAGAAAAATATCCAAGTACTTATGGTAGTATAAAACTATTCCCTCCTGGACTCCTTTAAGTAAGATTCACTTGAATCTTTGAAATTAATTCCTCAGGCCTAAGTTTTTCCTAAATGACAACTTTAATTCAGCTTTTACTCGTTACTTCATTACTCCTTCACAGATGAAAACTCAAAGATGCACTAATACCTAGTAAGCGATCCACCTACTTTTTTTTAAGTCAAACTGTAGCTTTTATGATGAAGAGGATTAAAAAAAATAAGATTGTTGAATTAGCCCCCAAAAAAATCAGGGATGTGTTCACAAATCATAATTTCAAATACCTCCAAGAAACACTCAATTACAATTGTTAACAAATAAATGTGTATTTCGGTAGCTAAGATCAGAATTGATCACAGAGCTTCTCTTATCATCTTCCACATGTTAGATGAAAACACCCACATAAAGTATCTTCCTCAAAGGGTCTTATCATTTCTTCACAGTTCACCAGGTTTGATAGTGCATTTGCTGACTTAGGTGCAGTTTGTTAAGACTTTACCATAAGCAA